ATACTTACTTCCTTAATTACTTACTTACCTTCTTACTTACTTACTTACTTACTTACTTACTTACTTACTTACTTACTTACTTACTTACTTACTATGCATATATATATAGTAGATTAGATAGATATGTATATACGTACATATAACATCATACAACATATATATATATACTGAATATAGTGTATGCAATGCGCAACATGTACAGTATGATTATGCGTATAATTTATAATGTATATAGTGTACATACGGTATAGTGATGTATAGTGTACGCAGTAGTGCATACAGATAGACATAGGAAGGGATGTCCACAAAGTGGATTGGAACCCGGATATGGCAGATGTGGGCTCCAAAGGCGCAAGTCACGTCACTTGTAGCAGTGCATTGGCAGTGCATTGGCAGTGCATCACCTGTGGTCCCGTCTGGTCCCCCATCCCAGGCCTTGAGATCTGCTGAAGCTGCTGTTCAGTTGGATCCCAACTGGTTGCCAGCCAAAGCTACGCAACGTCCTCAGGGCGCCGCCTTTTACGGAACCCCAACCAGTATCAGTGGTTGCACGAGATGCCAAGTAAAATTTGTGCAACTGTGCCAGTTAGTAGTTGGTTTATCCGTTTATCCCAAGATTTACAGGTCATTGATCGTCCCAGTATTCTGAAACATTGTTCACTGCTAAGGCTGGGCCGAGCACAACTTAATATGGGTCAGTTACAGGACCAATGGCCCGGACAGAGAGCGGCCAGGTTTGGCTCTGAATGTTGGGTTTTGATGTGCAGATGCGTATTTTTCCCGCAGTTCCCAGTCCAAATTCTGTTGCTGGGGTGCTGTTGTTCAACTTTTCTGGGGCCAGCCCACCAAAACCGAACAGGTTGACCATTAAATAATGAATAAATGAATCTGAAATGAGATGGTTTCAGGATGTTTAAGGTTTCCATTGATCCGCGTGGGATCTTGGAACATCACATGGCTGAAGCTGCCAAGTGAGGACGCAGTGATGAGTTTGGAAGACGCCCTGCGCCTGGCAGAGCATGACGAGGCCGCTCAAGATGGGTAGACTTGGTAGAAAATGATGCTGAATTCCTGGGGAATTTTCGATTGCCGTTACCAAGAACAAATGTGTCTTCCAAATCCATTTCCAGATTTTCCAGTTCCATTGTCCAAATTTCAAGTGGGTTTCGCTGTAGTCAAAGCACTCTCCGGCGGTCTCCGGTAAAAAAGTATATGTCTCTCACATAGATAGCTATGTTTGGCTTCTCGCTCTTCCAAGTATTCCCATTATATATCACCAAGTATTCTTATAACATTTGTGGAATGCCACTGCGAAATGACCGAGATGACCAAAACATACCAAAACAAAGCATTCCATTGTGCTCCCACTTTTTGCATCCTGTATTGATGCCGTACTCAGAATCAGAACTGGCTTGTTGGAAGCAGCTGCATTGTGCTACAACCAAGTCAGCGAGGAAGACAGACAGGAGGATCATATTGTCTAGCTGTCTAGCTTGGTCTTTGGATGTCTTGGGCATTTGTTTGGTGAGGTCATGTCATCTTAGATCCAGTTTCTTCAGATTTCTTCAGCATCCATGTCCAGCTGCGTTGAGGAATGGCGAAGCGAAATGCAAGAGGAGTTGGAGCAAGCGAGAAATCTCTTGGAAATACATTGGAGTGAGCACCATGTGCCTTGACACTGCATCAGAGTGCAGGCAGATATTCTGCATAGATTCTGCTTCAGCGAAGCGTTTGCAGTCAAAGCTTGTGGATGTTTCAGGCGCGCGAGTTTCTTCATTCTTGGCTTTGATGTTGTACATGCGTTCAAGTGAAGAGCATTTCTGATGGTTTGTCCACCAAGAAATGGAAGAGTTAAGGTTATGTCTACCTGATGCTTGCTATTGAATGCAAAGCCATCCAGGATTTTCAAATCCAAATTCTGGGCAACTTGGGGTAGCTCAGCCGGCCGTTTTCTGAGGACGTTCTTTTGCCAAGCTTCAGATGTGGTAAGCCTTTGCAGATCCGGCAGGTGCTGGAACTGGATGACATGGGCATGGAATGCTGGAAGCATTTGTGGTTCCAAACCACCGGGGGAATATCATGGGATATCCATGGATATCCTTCTTCCTTCCACCTCACGGGTGGGACTTAACACCCGAGCACGGGGCATTAAGCCAGTTGGTGGTTGGGCGCTGTGGCCCACATGAGTGAAATTTGCAAGAAGCAAACTCAGGGTAATAATGGGAAAAATCGCACCAGAAGGGGATCAGAAACATATAGTGCTGCTCACAAAACATCGTCAATTCTATCCTCGGGGAGAAAAGATAATGTCTGTCAGACAGAGAGGCACCACTATGTTGATCCACCAGGCTCAGGCAGCCCTCGCATCATGACAAAGTCAACCACGGTTCAGATGGTATCACATAGACCACATGATGACCATCCTCGGGAAGCTCGAGTGCAAAGTGCATCCACAGGAAGAACAAAGACCGGGCCACCAGGTGCAGCAGCACCCTCGTAGCATAACCAAATCATCTGCGGCTGGGATGAAATCTCAGAAGTGTCAACACAGCCCTGATCACAAAATATCACAGCAGCAAGCAGAGGTTCACAACTCGTCGGAAGCATCTCGGACGACTGGACGAGCACCGAGCAAGAAAGAGCACCACAAAGTGTTGCGTCTGTACAGAGAGACAAAGAATGTCCAAATAAAGCTAGCAGGATAGCCGTCGAATTCCGGCTCGTTTCCAACACGTCAAAAAATTGGCACCACCAAATACATGGCAAAGGTCTTTCCAGTGAGGAGGTGGAAACCAAAGTCAGAAGCATCGCCACATGATTGAATTCAGCCACACTAAGCAAAGAAGTGGCACGAACTGCCCATGCCCATGGTTCCTCAGAACGAGGAAAAACCAGGAGACATTGGAAATGTGACGTAGGAATGGTCAAACATTAATCATGTGATATCATCTGTCTCTTCACATCTCTTCACTCCTCAGCTGGACCACATGAAATACACTCGAAAAAAGTGAACCTCCGGAGGTCAACAAGCTCAGAGAGCTCTCGAAATCAGCATGGACAACCACGGATCGAACCATACCACAGTAGTGACATTGTAGTGACTGTGAATGCTGTCACAGTTCTCTGGGTAACTCAAGGACAGGCTTCACCAAGTGACAAATTGAGCGCCAAGTTCCGAAGGAACCCTTGTGTGAAGACAAAGCAAATCCCGGGTCGAAGAGAAGGACAGTAATGTCCAGCCATTCAACAACACCAGTAGGCCACATTCCAGGATCCGTCCAAGTCAATAGACCAATAGACGAACCACACATTGCAGCGAGCTTCATGTAAGGCGCCGACTGTACAAACCAGCGAACTCCGGGAAATAGTTGTAGGAGAACCAAAAATCCACAAAGCCAGGCATCAGCAAACGCAAAATAAGGCAAGATCATGCCGTTTTGCAAAGGCCAAAGACAATGGCACAGGAACAAGGCGGTCCAAGAAGAGGGGCACGTTGCGGTAGCATGACGAAGCAAGCTCATGAAGCAGAAACCAAACTATGGGACCAGATTGTATCAAACCATCGCCAGCTCAACTGAAAAGGGGTAGACCATAGGCAAAGACCCCAAAGGTCAGTGCCGAATCCAGCCGGACAAAGACTGCACATAGCAAACGTAGCCCCAGCAAATCCCAGCAAGAAGCTACAAACAAAATTGGAAAGAATATGCCAATCTCAAAGCCCAGGACTTCCGACAAGTCATTAAGTGGTAGCCACAGCTTCAACTATACATAATTGGCACATCAGTTGAATGCACACGCTGAGACCGCAGGGGCGTCACAGCCAAGGGGCGACATAAGTAGATCATGCAGGCACCGTTAGCGAACACAGGCTCCACCGGCGGGTAGGTGATGCCAGCCATGGACCATAGCAGGTCCATGGGAGAAAGAACGTTTGGTTGGCCGACCAAATCTCTTAGATCTGATCCAAACATCTATCATGATTTCATCAGATTTTATCATATTTCATCATATTTCATCTAATTGATCGACGTTTCGGTCAGTGACACAGTTTGCACCTTGCGGAGGCACTGGACTGTCGCTATTGTCGCATGGAAGGAGAGCTGGGACCTGGCGGAGCGTCAGAGCCCTAGTTGGGTCCCGTTGGGTTCACGCTGTCACGCTGTTGAATGATCAGGTTTATGAGATCGATACATGTCGATACATGTCGATATTATCATGCAAGGCGTTTCTAGGACTTGGGATCAGCGGAAGCAGGCTTAGGCTTAGGCTGTTAAGCTTGGCCGACCCGTATTTGACTTAGCTTTTGGATGCTTTGGCAGGATCGTGTAGAGGTGGGCGCTAGATATATCTAGATATTATTCTTCGATTCTTCGACTCCCTGAGCAACTGCAGTGTTGTTTTTGGAGATCATAACCACTTTCATGTGACTTGAACATGCAGCACGTTTCTATTGTTGGTATTCGTTGGTATCAATGGTGGTCGGGCGTTATTGTCAGTGCAAGGCATCCTTTTGTTGCTACGCTTTGTACGCACGTCCTGCGACACATTTTTCTGCGTGTTTGCTGTCACTCTCTCGCTTGGCTCATAGATCTCATAGAGATTCAAAATGCGCGTGGTCTTGGTCTCCTGGTTGCTGGTTCTGTTCGACAATGGCATGAGCATCATGAACTAGTGGATGCAAAAAGCGTGAGTTTGAGGACTCAATCGAGATATTCGAGCCTGTCAGGCTTTCTATGGCTTTCTGAATTCAAAAAATGGGAAACCGTGGAAACCAATGGTGGAGACCATCCACCATTTAAATGTGCATCGTTTGTTGTAGTGCACCGCTTACTAATCAGCGGTGAGTTTCTGTAGAGGTGAAGAACCAATTCTGTACCTATGATGTTTCTTTCGGACCCGTCACATATCCATTTTGTGATTTTATGCGACACATTTTCCCAGAGAAGTTCCAGCTGCACCCAAGGCTTTGGGCAGCCGGCGCAAGCTTGGCCACGCTGATTTCCACAGAGGTCTCCCAACATCACCAATGATGGTGGCATTATTGTGGCATGCATGGGGGCAGAATCAAGACAATGGAGACATATGGAGACATGACATGTTGTTAACATATACCATCTATAACTTCCAATCATGGAATAGGAGGGCTGCCCCGTCCAGAGCCTTTCCTGCAAAGCAGCTGTGAAAGCCTTTCCCTGCAGGGTCCGAGAATGACATCTATGGACTTCCATGCACCCAGGTGTGAGCCCAGTGGCAAAAGCATTTGTGTTGATCGTTGATGGTGACTAGTAGTGACTACCGATCCACCGATGATCATTGGTGGTGACTGATGGCTTTTGATTGAAGTGGATGTTGTGCAAGTTTCCATAACTTTCCCTTGGTGTTGAATCAGTGTTGAAGTGAAACAGTTCCAGGCCTACTGTTTTAGAGCTGGGCTCTGGTACTGGTGCTGCCGGACTGGCATTTGCAGCGACCGGGGCAAAGGCAGGGGGCCTGCGATGGTAGCAGAGGGTTAGGTAGGTACCAGGTAGCCGCCCCCGTTGTTTCTGGGGATACCCTTTCCTTCCCTTTTCTCACAAAACGCATGATGTCCTTTCCTGTTTGAGCAGATCTGGTCAAGGATGGCACCATCTAATTTCGGAACATGTTGGGGATTCGCATTGATTTGCTTGTTTACTTTGGTTGTTCAACTATTGGTCAAACCAGATGTCGTGGTCGTGCACCATCAAGGGAGTGGGGACCAATTTTTTTACACGTAACCAGCCCCAGAAAGTACGCAAATCTCTCAGGTGTGGTTTCAAGAAACTGAGCACAACATAGTAGCGAGATATAGCAAGATATGCTGCCATATGCCATATGCCAACTATGTGAAACTGTGAACGCCTGTCTCACAAGGTACTCCTGACTGATCGCCAGTCCCTGCTCCCGCTCTTGAGGTGCAATGCTTGGGCCCAATCAACCACAAAGATCCACAAATTATGAAAAAATGTTTGCAGAAGTTTGCAGGATTTTGCAGGGAAATCCTGTGGTTTCTTATTTGATTTTTGAAAATTGTGGGCGCCTAGGCGCTGTTCGTTGTGCCACTCATTCGCTTAGGCTACATGCATGTTGAAAGCGCATGACAAAGCTGCAAAGAGTCAAGGGTATCCAGGGTAGGGAACGGAACGGGATGCCATGCAGTGTCGATTTATGATCATTTATGCATATTTTATCATATTTGGTATTGTGACATGATTTGGTAGTCTAGTCTCCTCCTGGTATGTCGTTTCAAGCAGTTGTGCATTGTTATAGATGTCACTTTGGGCCATTGTTTCATGGCTGTACTGCTGAAGGTGACAGCGAGTTCTGGAGAGCAAATCTGTAAGTACACTTTGCAAAATAGTTTGTCAATTCACACAACGGTAGCCTGTTGCTTACAACAAAGCCAATACTCCCAGCAAACTAGGCTTACATTTCCCCTGCAACAATGAGGGAAGCTATATCCACCATATCGTTCGTTACGGAATACATTGGAGACGTAAAGATGAAACCGTTCCGGGCCATTGAGGCTCAATGTGGGCCTGAACAAAGACTTGCTATCTACTGTTGGCGGAGCAGCCGACATCGGCGAGTTTGATTGGCTCTCGCCACCTGAGGAGATTTTGAGGTTGGGGACATTTGGGGACGGCTTTTGTTCCTCGCCGAATTTCAACGGTTGAGTTACGTCATGTAGGTAAGAAAGGAAGGTACTGGGAGGGCCTGGAGAGTTCGCAAGTCAAAACCAGTGGCCTCACAAAATGATACAAAATGTAAGATTTTCTAGCCACTTGACCAAGGTTGTGGTACCCTAATGCCAATAATTACTGATCCATGCCAACGTTTAAATTTCCGAAGATGCTTGACAAACATTAACATGCCCGACATGGTTCGTCAATGTTCGTCAATGGTCATCATATTTCTTATGTTGCTGCTTCTTTGATCAACGGAGCAGTTGCATCCACCTTTGTCTAGTCTTTTGGTTCACCCTTGCGTTTGCCTTTTGCAACTTTGTTGCTTTTAGTCCTACGTCTAGATACTTGAACACACACCTCCGTCATTGGAGAGCACAATAGAATACAGGAAGCTTCCATTTCATTAAATATTATATAAGTCCTTCTGCTGAAGCAAACGCAAGATGTAGAGGTAACCTCCTGGATGCTGGTGAGAAAGGCAAAAGAGACTGATGTTGTAAATCTTTCTGAGACTGCTGAAACCCGTGCTTTATGCTGAAAATCCTGATCCCTGATGTTTTATTGAACAAATTGTTCATCATTTACACAATTTTACTGATATCTGCAGCTACTGCTTGTATCTCCTCGGATCCTGGCTGAAAGGCAGCAGTTTGATTTGGTGTAACTGGGCTGTTGAACTCATTCGGGGTGTGGCACGGTGTGGGGGAAGATTTCAGAAGTGCTTTGAATTGCGGAAGACTTGTATATGTAAGCTCTTAAGCTTGTCTATACATGCCCTGTGCAAGGTTGTCTCTTTCCAGACTTAACCTCTCAACTTTTAGCATGTTTAAGTCGTTGATTGGTGGATAAGTTTGATGTCCCCGAAGTTTTGGAAGCAGACGCAGAATGCTGCAGATGCATGAGACCCGAGGATTGGTGCTGATTTGGTTTACTCCTTTGCAGCAGTTGAGCCGTTCATGGCCGCGGTTACTGCACTATTGCAGGACATGCGGCAGGTTGCAGTCTTTATCACGAAAGGTAGCCTAGGCTACCTGAGTTCTATGTACTTTAGTACTAGTTTAGTACTGGGGGAGGTGGGTGGTCCTTTCCCGGAAATTGAGAGCCGAGAGTCACGAACGGAGTCCGCATCTCTTTCTTTCTTTTTCTCTGACTATGTACTTACCTCCTTATCCATCTATCTATCCATGTATCTATCTATTTAGTTGTCTATCTATGTATCTATTTATCTATCTATCCTTCTATGTATCTATCTATCTACCTATCGATCTATCTATCTATCTATCTTTTGATCGATCTATTTAGCTATCGATCTATCTATTTATCGATCGATGCTTCTATCTGTCTATCTATCTATCCATCTATTTGTTTATTTATCTATCTATCTATCTATCTATCTATCTATATATCCTTCTATCTCTCTATCTATCTATCTATCCATCTATCTATATATATATATCTATATATCTATTTATCTATCTATCTATCTATATATCTATCATACATACATACATACATACATACATACATACATACATACATACATACATACATACATACATACATACATACATACATACATACATACATACATACATACATACATACATACATACATACATACATACATACATACACACAGACATACGCACATACATACATACATACATACATACAGACATACACACATACACACATACGCAGATACGCACATACATACATACCTTCCGCGATTGCTCGTTGTGATATCGCGGTTGCTACGCGATTGGCTGAGCGATTGAGGGCTATCCGGGAAAAGGTATTTTGGACAACCCTCCATTTATAAATTAAATAAATTTATATTTAAATTTATATATATATATTATATATTATATTTGGTGAAATTTTAATATTTTATTAGGTTTAGTTATTTAAATTACTTAGTTTTTTTGGGATTTAGGTTTTTGTAATTGTTTATTTTTCTAATTTTTGTTTTTGTTTTGAAGCTTTATTTGTCGGGTATAGTTTGGTAATAGAGTTTTGAAGAAAAAAAATGCTATATATTAGGTTGAATTGAATTTTTGATAAATTAAAAAAATTGAAATGGGTAAGTATAAAAATAAAAAATAATGTGGTGGCATAATAATACTTTTCCTTAAAAGATTCGTTTTGAACCTTTTATTTTTTAACTAGGCCTAAGCTATTGAATTTTTGGTTTTTAAACATACTGCAAACAGTTATAAATAATTCGATCCTAGTATTAAAAAATATCTTATATCTGAATATATAAAACTTCCGTACGCTTTTAGAAACAAGGTGATACCAAGAGCAGGAACTGATCTATTTTGATAGGCAGAGCGTCGGTATCGATTATACCATTTTAATTCTTTCGCCAGACTAGGATTTACCGAAGGGAATTGTCGATAGTTTCGGCTTAAATAATAAGTTCCGCTAAAACGTATCGAAAACACTTGAAATGGTAAATCTGGAAATTCTTTATCCGGCAATTAATCGATGGGACCCAAAATCGGATTACTTGGCGCAGCAGCATTTAGCTCCATTCGGATTTATTTTTCCTTTTTTTCGATTTTATCCTAGCTTTTAAAGATGTTTTTTTTAACGTTGGGCATATTTGAACCTTGTAATTTTGATTTCGGTTATTGAATTTTTGGTAATGGGGTTATATTTGGCAAATAATTTATCTTTTGTTTTTTTTTTCCTAGTTATTCTCCTCCTCCTCCTCTTCGTTTTCCTCCTCGTCCTCCTCCTCCTCCAATTTTTCCTCGATTATATTTATATCAATTTCCCCCTTTACTTCCGCTGTACCAATTCTTCGCCAAGTTTTTTGCTAACTCTTTTCACCAAGCTTTTTGTTAACTTCCCAATTTAGTGTGCACCGCTGGACCTCAACCTGGGACCTTCCCAGCTCAGTGTACACCGCTGGACCTCAACCTGGGGCTTTCCCAGCTCAGTGTACACCGCTGGACCTCAACCTGGGACCTTCCCAGCTCAGTATACACCGCTGGACCTCAACGGCCAGATAAAATGACAAAAGATATGCCAGATAGAATGTCAGATAGAATATTAAAAGATATTCCAGAAAATATGCCAGATAGAATGCTAGAAGGTATGCCAAATAAAATGCCAGTAGGTATGCTAGATAAAGTGCCAGAATATTTGCTGGATAAAATGCCAGAAGATTTGTTAGATAAAATATCAGATAGAATAATAGGAGATATGTTAGAAAATATGCCAAATAGAGTACCAGAAGATATGCCAGAACAGATTGCAAAAGATATACCAACTAGAATGCCAGAAAATATATCAGATAGAATGCCAGATAAAATGCCAGAAGGTATGCCAGATAGAATGCTAGAAAATTTGTCAATATTAAAATATATAAATATCATGGTGGGGATAACTCGAAATAATGTCTTTTTTTTTCACCTTTGGTATTCCTTAGAGTATTTTTTATTGGAACCTGTGGTGACGGAAAAAAGGACAAAGAAATTGATGGTGAGTTAACTAAGGGGACAACAACAATGGAGCGTTCGCCATGGCTTGAAACTGCACTTCCTTTCGAAATCTTTTCTCCTCGCTTCGCTTCTCCAGGGAGATTTCCGGGTGATGGAACTTGGCGCCTTTGAGCGGCAGCTCTCACCAACCGTACTCCTACCTTCCAGATCTGCTGCGCAAAGAGTGTGGCCAAAACCACAAAAAAGGTAAAGCAAGCGACCATCGTTTCAAAATTGATTTTTTCTTCATCGTTTTTAATTTTCTCATTTTCAGCCGCTTTCACTGAAGAAACGGCAGCAGCCAGAATGATGAGCTTGATGATCTGGACTGCTCCAGCTATTTTCATCCCTTCGTTTTTCTTTTGATCTTCGCCTTCTTCTCTCAGCCTCCTTTTTTTCTCAAAACCTCCTTCCTTCTTTTCTTCCTCCTTTTCTTCTACTTCTTTCAAACTTCCCATACTCATGAAATTCTTCAGCTTTTCCAATCTTGGGGTACTCAAGTCTTTCGTCCCCAAGTCGGCGATTATTGACTCGCCATCAACATGTTGGATCAGTTAATCGCCACGGCTGATGCTCTGCCTGGCAAATGAGGAACGATGCCTGAGGTGCCTCATCCTCCAGCTGCCGCCATCGCAGGTCAGAATGGCTTCAGCTGCTTGGCTGTCGGTGTAGGCCACTTTGATGACCACCTCGTAGAGCTCTTGAATCATGACAGCTATTGATTCGCCAGCAATCATCGCTTCTATAACTTCTGTTATCTCTGATTTAGTTGTTGAAAGTGTGACCAGACTCTGTCGGCCAGCTCGCCAAAAAATCGGCGACCCTTCTAGCAAAATCAAAAAACTTCCATGAATTTCTGAAATTTCAGGAGAAAAGAGGCATCTGAGTATGCCTGCAGGACGATCTCATCTTTGAAGTCTACCTGGTAGCGAAGTCCTCATCTTGAGTTCTTTTGAGATAGCCCTTCATTTGATTTCCTAGCTCCATGATTTTGACGGGATTCTTCAGGACGTGAGATCCCATCGGACTCACGCCATACATGAGGTCAGGGCGTGTGCGGGTGAGAAGCCAAAGTACTTCTCCAACAAATTTTTGAGCTCCTCGCACTTCTTCCAGCGTAGGTGTGGACGCTGGTGCTTCAATGTGAGCTTGGTTACGGGTAACAGGGATCTTTTTTTTTATTTGTTCTTCATTTTTCTCTATTAAATCTTTGATATATGACCTCTGGGTCACATACCACTCCTCCCTTTCTCCATCCTCAATTTTTCTTTTTGACACTTCCATTCCAAGAAAACGCATGGGATGCTCGGAGGCATACTCTGGTCTTCTAAATTTCTTGAAATTTCTCCTTGATGGCCTCCAGGATGGAGTGGGATGAACAGATGCAGATGTCATCCACATAGGTCATAACCAGTCCCCCTAGGATTTGACTTTCATCGAAAATTGCTAGCACTCTCCAAAGGTTTGGTTCTGATTGAAGAGCCCGTAGATGGAATT